AAAATAGACAGACAAGTGTTAAACTAGAAATAATATGTCGTCACATAATTGTATTGTGATGAGATAAAACAATCCAAAAATGTCACCTTCGATTTCTTCTCAAAATACGTATTTGGCATAAATTCTGGCATTAGATGCGTTTTCATTATACGTGGCCTTGTCAGTGGTCGTTTTTCCACAACACTAGCACCAGACACCGGGACCATGTCTTTAGTGAGACCGATTTCAAAGAGATCAGGATGATCAAGTGGACCCATTTCCAGAGTCTGGGAATGTCTTACCACGTCTTCCGGATTGTCAATATTAACAATTTCTTCAACTATAGATGTGGTCCAATGAGTCCCTGGTGAAAATGACGCAATGTTCATCACGTTACTGGCAAGCCTATGGTATAAAATTGTTTCATTGAATTTAGCAAAAACACTAAGAGAATACAGGGACAGAAACATGTGGGAAACATTCTATTACGTAACCGTCGCAGTGCGGGAAACAAGACCACAACCGTATTTTTACGTTGTTTTCAGTAGTATATGTAATCCGTTTATAAAAAAAAATACGTTCCCAACAGACTGCTGTTCATGTACTGTAGCGTGTACTTGTTGTTCTAGAATGGACAAGTAAATATAACGTGTTATCTATACGGCAACTGTTAACTTAAATCGTTCTTTAACCTGTTTCAAGTGTAACCTGTATCGCACTGTTAATAATGTGTTTTGTTTTGAAATTTGTCTGTCGAAAAAAACGTTATTAATAAGTTTGTGGAATGTACGCGTGTGTGATGCAACTTGTTATGCGATATTAAGACGTACGTGATTTAATTTGATGACATATTACTCAAAATAGAACACGGTTACCTGACGCTATATTATCTAGTGCTTACACGTTTAATAAATTCTTGTTTCATGACCCATTATGAGAGTCGAGACCTAGTAACTGGAACTATTCATGGTCCCCATGCCTATGCGCTCATTCATCTCAATATCTTCGACTCACCGGATTTAACATAACCATGAATAAATATGTCGTCTCTTCTTATAGTCAGATTTCTGACATCATTTTCTATAATTGTTTTCTTGTTAGCGACACTTGGCAACAAATAACCTGGTCTAAAATAGAAGGATTTCTTCCAGGGCGGCTGAACCGTGACGATGGGTCTATATTCAGACATGACGTCAGTATTCAGAGTAAAGTACAATTCTGAAATAAAACAGAGGGAGTCGTCTCCTGAGCATGCGCAGGAATTGAGTTCCAAGCGACGACAACAACGCACGCTAAAACACAAAGGTTCATGCATAGACGCTTCTTTGTACGTTTGTACGGCAGTTTGCCGCATGCGCAGGTGACGACTCAGCCGCTTTAAGATATACAAGTTTTTTTGATTTCCCTGCAATGTATTCGACATATATTCTGGATGCTGGACGCATGAAACAGCCACTGGTGGCGCTGTATACAATCGAGACTAGCTCATTTAGATTGTATTGTAAAACGAGAAAGCAGTTGTTAAATTTGGTGACCGGTTTAGTTTGATAGAAAGCGTTTATGGTCATCAAATAACCGCAATAGATAGAGTTAAGGCCAAGACCGAATTCCGGCGTTTCATACTAAATGCTTTCTAATAATATTCATGAAAAATGTCTACGAAATAACCTTGTTAAATGTTATTAGCATATTGTATACGCAGTGTGCATTGTTCACGGCCCCTTTTCCGTATTCCACTAAGTTTGATATTGTGTCTTGCCACTGAACTAAATGTATTCTTTTTAAATCAAGGTTGTAGTGCGACTTCAACTTGGTCGACAATGTACTCCTCGGGTCGCTAAAACTGTATGTCCACCCCTGTAAGGATGTCCATTTGTATAATTAATAACACTCACTAGAGATAATATCGTGACATAAAATGATTTGATCTATTTTCCAAGTTTTATTTTGCTATAATAATAATAATAATAATATAACTGCAACAGTGGCATTGATTAGTAAAACGATGTTGCCTCTGCATTTAGAATTGAGTTTCAATGCGCCATATTTTTGAACTCTAAAGTAGCACCAGTGACCATCACCACTAACATGGGGTCAACTTATATCGCAGTATTTCCTGAATACCTCAGCTAACACAATAGGTAGTAGCTGTAGATATTATAGGTACCCATATGATGTATTATTTCCTTTTGATACACATTTAGGAGCGGAAAAAAACTATAAACTAATATAGGCGAACAAACTGTTACAATGGCACTGCCAAGCAGCGCACCACGCAGAAGCTACAAGAGCCATCGTCGGCGACGTCATTGACGTGACACAACAGATCTATGATACAAGTTAAGTGCGTAGGGGTTTCAGAGACCTTAAACTAAACCGACTTTGTATATACGCTCCTCTTACTGTAACACGTAGGTCGGCAACACGTGCATACAATCAGTACAATTCTTACCTGCATCGGCAACGAACTACGGGTTCAATAAGCCAGTTCACAATTAGGCCGCCATTTTGAATTTTAATGAGATTTCCTATGACGCAATGGAAGGTCAAAGTTCGCATGGTACATGTTTGTATGCTGTTCCTATGTACTAAATAATACGATTGAGTTGATATTTCACCGTATAATATACTCCGGAATGTATTTTAGGCTTTAGGAAGCTCTGTAAACAGTGAGGAATAAAAAGGACCTAAAGTCCAGGTCACTGTGCCGTAAAGTACCAGCGACTAATAATAAATTTAAACTGACTGTATCAGTGCATTGACGTAACATGACCGACAGTTCAGAGTATGTGAGTAGGTCACATAAGCATGTATTAAAATAAATATGCCGTGAGTTATTTGTTGGCATGTATTGTATTGATTCGGTTCCGAGTCAATGCACATATTTCAGCACGTGTCTCGTCGGTGCTGATACTCGAAATATATGTAACATAATATACAATTTAATACGAAATATTTTGAATGTACAGTATTCTAAATGTTATGGCCATGCAAACATTTTGGTCCACATTCGGCATAATTGAGGAAATGAACTTGACATTTTAGTTTGCAAAACCGGTCTAACTAAACAATAACAACAAACAATAACAGGCAAAACACTATAATGAAACTATGTAAAAGACATCTACAGCAGTCCAATCTGTTTTTATTATGTGACTATTTATAATTAAGGTGATAAACTATTCTTCTTTATCAACTCGACACGCAAGCTCGGGTGCTTCCACCGCACGACTTCCAGCCGCAAAAGTCACATCCCGAGTCCGTAAAAGTGTTATCATATCCCTTACAGGTATAATTACAATTTCACCACGGCGTAACCTTAAACACGCGACGTATTTTAGAACGACGCATTTTGATTTGATCGATGAAAGCAGGGCACACGGGGCCGGGCATGTTGGGAAAAATATTGCCCTGATCTGAGGGCGCACTTCCAATAGTATTACGAGCCCGGGAATACGAGGTATATGATTATAGATATTTTCTACAACACGTATAATTTTACGCCATATTATGTTCAGAATATAATTTGCTGCAGTGACATAACCTTACCAAAAAAATGATATACCTGTTGAGTGCTGCAGCTAACGATGTACTCTTAATTAGCTGAACAATTTATTTTGAACATTTGTTGTGCCGACGAATGCATGTTTTAAACACTTTTCGATCAAGCAAAATTTTCATAATATAATTGGGAGAGATTATTTTTTAAAATTTAAGACCAATCTTGCAATAAAATAATGAAGGCTTCATTATTAGTATCACAAATACGATTTGTGTACGACGGTGTGTTCATAACGGATTGCATTGTGTCACACCCAACTATCTTATTATTATTATGCATGCGCGCGGGAAGCTAGTGTTTCTTCTCGGCAGTAGGGCTGTTGAATATCATTACCTATTGTGTCACACCCGACTATCTTATTATTCTATGCATGCGCGCGGGAAGCTAGTGTATCTTCTCGGTAGTAGGGCTGTTGAGTATAATTACCCGCCCTTGTCTCATGCCACCAATTAGCCTATATCAGCCAGAATTATATTACATACATGTGGTTTCAACAAATTGAAACAATATTTTACTTGAAGGAACTCACTCAACATTGTTTTCTATGTAGTTCTAATTTGTAGTATGAGACCTGATAATTAGCTTTATATGGTCGGCGATATTTATTGCGAATTTATTTTTTAAACCAGTTACCTCGAGTACGTCAGCCTTTGCTTGCGTACAGGGCTCATACAGCTAATTGGTACTCCATAGAGGACAATGCTAACATATCAGTAGATTGCTGTATGAAAATGATAAACACAGTCTGCAAAATGGTCCTAAAATGGGAAATCAACATGTCAGTAATCAACCACAAGAAACAACACACATGTTGGCCAGCTGAAACTCTGAGAAAAAAAAGACGGTGGGAAAAAAGAAACGCCTTATATAGTGGAATTGTTCAGTTATCTGAAAACCCCACAAGTTGCCATTGTAATTTCCCTTACCTGGGAAAGACCAAAGCTGTTATTCAGTGTTGGGTGAACTTCTTAATGTATAGCCTGTTTCTTGCTTTCGACAAAACGTTGACACGACAAATAGCACAGGAAGAAGCATCAAACTTAAACTTACTAAATGTTTTTAGAAGTTACTGTAATTTTGCTGTTGATTCGTACAAAGACATGCCCGAGTGTACCAAAATTACATTACATAAAATCAAGTGTTGTGAGTGCATGTCATTTAATGTAATCATTGATTGACAGATTTGCTATGTATACTGAATTGAATATTTATTAGCAAATTCTAAAGCAGCGTGGGCTCGTCGATATGACTATGTATGATGTCGCCGGTAAACACGGCGCAGTTTGCGTCCCAGTGAATCCATTACATTGCGTTACAAAGCTGGCAACGCTAACACAGCGAGCGAGGGAATTTACCGCCATGCTTATTGGATTCTTGTATATTACTATCTTCGCTAAAATCGACAATGACAACTTTCTTTCCATCGCAACGAGAGACACTAAATCGTATATTTTGTTCCCGTACAGTGAGAGGAAAATTACTCATGAGTAGGGATGATAACATAAGATAACATAAGATAAGGACAACGTGGGCGTGTAAAGTTTAGTGATACGCTTAGCTTCACTGGGGCGCTACCGACGCCACCCTGGACAAAGACGTTGAACAAATTGACTGACGAATCTGACAACATGCATTAGAATTTCACACTCTTTAACATCAACAACATACACGTTTTTGTGTCTTTAGTTGTAAATAAATTTATTTTAAACCGATAACAAAAGAAATAATTTTTGATTGGGATTTTCTTCTCTGAAAAGCACAAACAAGTCTATGTACTCATTCATGCTCATCATTTAAAAACTCTGTGATACACGCACCCACATATGACATTTGGTACACCCATCGATTCATGGGAGATCTGGAAAGATGATGAAAATGGTCTATTGTATACTATCGTCTATTGTTCATCTATAAGGCATTATGGGCTCTAACATATGTACGGTATAATCACATGTTATTGCCATAATAATCTACTTTACGTTCTACGTGCCTTTATCCCTTCTCTCCAAACAGTGAATGAATGTCTAGAGTCTATATGGTGCAATCCTACGGCGGACATCCAGCTATTTTCACCGCCTGCCAACTATCACGGTGAAAAGAACGTCGAAAAATGTTTTTTGGAATAATGTAAAAAGATTATTCCTATATGTGGAACATATATAAATTGTGTTGTTCATGAATAATTCAAAGTTGATTTTATGCCGTTTCCTCAACTTTAGCTTTTTTCACCAGCTCTTCAACCGGCATTTCACAGCAGCTCAGCTCACACAGAGCCCGTAGAAATACATGAATGATACAGTGGTACAAGTCTTAGCAACATGCAGCAGAAAACGTTTGACTATGACACAGAAAGATATATGGTTGGTGTCACATGTGGAACATAATCCGATCCCAGTTCTATGGTGTTCTCTACAATTTTCACTGATAAACTTAAATGTAAATTGCTCTTCTGCATAGTCCCCCGAATAGGCGCCGTTATCGTACACGATCTTTTCAATGCAAAACAAATTGAAGATATTGTTGCTGTATTGATGGGAAGAAAAATATGTTTTTCAGAAATTATTGTAAATTAATTACAGCGATACAAATTTTAGTAAGAATACGAAACAAATATCAAACCAGAAAAA